ATTTGGACAACACTATTGACAACATTTAACATATCATTGCGTCCGCTGATTTTTCATCTACTTTCTTTTTATAGGGAAATTCTTGCCAGAGAAGTTGGATTTGACTTAAGTTATCACGCAATGAACACTACTGAGCTGTTACTGCAGACACAACGGTATGGCTTAGGCATTACAAATCTCGAGTTTTTGTATGGACTGCTCCTCTGAGTCCGACCTGCGGAGTTGTTTCGTTCACAACAGCACATGAATTTGGGATTTTCATTTTGGAACCTGATAGCATCTTTTTCTTTTCCATTGGTTTACCGAAAAACTTAAGCTCAAATGTGGAATAGCTTGACGCTGATGCTTGTGGCGTGGATTCACATCACTGCCATATTGTTGCGGGCAGAACACACTCGCAAGTTAGGCTCATAGTATCAGAATATAATTTCATATTCAATTCCTTAGACATGATTGTTTCTAGAAGTTGTCATTTCTACGTTTTGAGAACATTACAACGAGGAGATTACAAATCTCTAATGTATAAAATGATTGCGAGAAGCACGAAGAAGGTGGACTAAGTTTATTTATCTGATGCTGGGATTGTTGGGTCGTTTATTCATTTGAATCTTCTTCAGATCGACGCAAATCTGTCCAAATGCGCTATCTGCGCTATCTGTTTTAACCCAGTACTGAGAACTTCTTTATTCAGGCACTTTTCCATAGGAGATCATAAGATTTTGAAAGCGTAGGTGTTCTTCCTGTTGATCAGTACTTTGTAAGTCATTACTATGATTTCTAAAGTCACGACGGTCAAAGCGAGTTCCGCGAAGTTCCTGAGATCGCTGAAGCTCCAAATGTGACAACAGAGAGCTTCCCATACATATCGCTTCGTTACTCGAAAGTCTTTAAAATAAAGGTGAGTTTTGCTGAAGAAAATTTCTATTTTTCCTTCCGGTTGGTGCTTTTCCTGCTGCTAATGTTTCGTTCATATTTATTTTTTTCTTAGGAGTTGGGAGACGCGACGTCGATGGCATTTATGAAATGGCGCTGCACTCTTTCGAGTAACACTGTAGGACATGTAGATGATGTGTTGGAGTTTCCAACAGTACATATGTTGAAAATTCATGCTTTAAACCATTTTCGGACATATCATGATGGCTTTTTTGATACGAGTTTCTTGGACTATGAATGGTAAGCTTTGATTGTTTGCTATCTCGCTTTTTTCTTTGTTCCTAACCCATCTATCTTAAGGGAACTTCTGAAGAAAGAACTTCCAAGTTCAGCCACTGCTTTTTTTTATTCACCTCTTGCTTGCAGCTTTAACGGGGAGCCATTTGATACTACGTAAGTTCAAAGCTGTCTTGTTCGAGACTGGTCACATCTGCACTATATTTAGAAATCCGAATCACTTCAATGCTCCATTCAAGGCCGATCTGCTTCCAAGATTGTTCCAGGAAGTTCAGGTGAAATCTAGATGAGCAGCTTCATGCAATTTGTAACTCAATAATCAAATTCCGCTGAAGGTTTGTGGCTTCTGTTTCTGGTGTGGATATCCATCGCAGTTTCTGAATCATATTCTTTGTCATGGCTATATTGATACTGGGTTGGTTTTATCAGCTCGAATATCCTTATTATAAGTCTTGCATTGTATGACTAGATGTTATCTCAATAATATCACATAATT